TTTTTGTCCATTTTCCGTAAACTTCATTTTACAGCACGCTCCGTACAAATATAACTCATGATTCGTACCACTGAGAAATACTTTCACGACAAACTTTGTGTCATAATTAGATCTTAAGAATTGATTGGAAAATAGCTTTCCTGTCCAACTTTTTCATACGCCGGACAAACCGACGTCAAGAAATAAGCCCAGCAAATTGTTTCAATGTATGAAATCCATTACAGTTAGATGTTTGGCTATTCTAATGCCAGTTTTATGTTTTCATGTAAATATTTCCCCTTTAAAGGATAAAAAACCATGATTAGATATTCCAAACACAATTTAACATTAGGTTTCTTTGGGTTTGTTTTGAATTTCGCGCAAAGCTACACGAGGGCTATCTGCGCTAGCCATCCCTAATTTAGCTGTGAAAGACTAGAAGGAAGGCAGCTAGTCATCACCACCCACTGCCAATTCTTGGGCTACTCTTTTACCAGCGAATAGTAGGATTAACCGTCACATTATAACGGTCACATGGCTGAAAAGGCAATCATGTTTGGTAACGGGAATTCGAACCCGCAAATTGCGAGTCGAGTGCCATAAACACCAGACCAAACAAAGTTAATAAATTTTGCATAAACATTAAGTAAGCTCTAACCATATTGTGAATATTTTGAAGTGAGGCAGTTATAAATTTTGTGATTTTATGTGGAACAATAGTAACATAACTAAAAGCCACAGGAAAGATATTTGAAGGATAAAACTCTACACACGTAGAAGGTACATGAGCCACGCTCTTCCTTTGTTTGTCCAGTATAAAAAATAAGTAGTTTTCTTTCTTTTTTTATTGAAATCTCGATATTTCAGATCTAGTTCCTGTAACTAAGTTATTGTACAATCGCCTTAACACGTGTTCAGTTTCTCATGCGTACAAACCACGGATGAATCAAAAACTTGCCTCAACTGAGATTTCCTGGAGTCCTTGAATAATGACTGACTCGTTTCGTTACATACATGCCTGAAGAATATCGTTTTCTCACCGATCCATGTGACTAGTGGACGTATTTCTCCCGTAGAAGGCCACAAGAATGCTTATAGGATTCCACAAAGCAATTCTGGTGCAGCAGGTGTGAAGGACACCTCGCAAACCGTGAGACACTCACTTGTGATCTCAGGGGGTGGGGCATTGATATTAGTTATGGTTGCATCACACCCTTTCATGTATTTTAGTAATTGTAATCCTTTACGAGACATCATGCGAAATATGACAATGAGTTGCTACTATGTGTTAAAACACTGAGTTTTTTTTTTAAGGTTTCTCGTCTGTTAGGCTAAAGAATACTAACTTATGGAAGCGACCCCGAGTTGCTCTTTAGAAAACTACATGAAAGCCAGCGAAGTAAAACGAACGCTGAACCAAACTTTAGCATCAGTAGCATTTGACATTCGTAATTTATTAAAATATTCTGTTGCTACGTCAAAATAGTCACTGCTAAGTAAAGCCCAATCGCTGTTTCTGACAAAATTCCTCATACGTTTTAAATGTTTTTTACAGCTTCCTTGCTACAAAACAAAATTTATTATTCGTATCAAAAGTTTATATTTTGCATACAAGCAATCAAAATCCGATTAAAATAAGCCCAGAATATTAACTCTGGTTTTGTCATTTAACGCCTTTGAAGGGAAGCTCATAGTGCTCACCAGAAAATACTTGACTACGCCTGCTACCTCATTATTCCACGTAGCTAAACCTTAAAGATTGATTGTTTGACTCTGTAAAATATGTGTCAAAAGTAGGGGTTAAAAAATGAAAATAACTTTATGATCATATTTAAAAAAGTAACAAACCCAGTTAGAGAACATCTTATAACATAATCGTTGGAAATAAAAACTAACAGTAAAAAATCTATTCAGGATCAAACGAAATAGCTAAATCCGAACATAATGATAAATGTAAAAGGATTCGTATTAAGGAACTTGATCCGAGTACACAAGAAAGAAGGTAAGAGGGTTATATTACTTCTGTAAAATAACATAATGAAGACATTGGGATTGGAGTGAAATAACGAACGAGTAAACACGTGAAAATTATTCAAATTCATATAAACAGTTAGGTCCTAGTAAGTAATTTAAGAAAGTTTGTTAACTACTGATATTTTCTGTTTGAAGATACAATTAAAAATTCGAGTAGAATTTGGTAGTTGATCATAGGTATTTTGAATTCATTTTTTAATCTCTGAGGATAGAATTATGTGAATTGCTGAGCCCTAAGGGTCATTTTTAATCTCTCTGTACTTTGTTAAACAAACACATATTACCGAGGATTCATTGTTCCCACTGTTCGAATCCTATCCTATCATAGGATTTCACTTTTCTGACTGACTGATTCAATTTCTAACATTGGTATTTTTGTCTCATACAGAGATCAAGTTTGACGCCGTGACATTTGTGTTTGATCACTTATAATGGGCTTATTTTATAGTAATTCATTAATTAACGCCAAGAAATGAACTATAAATTAGTCATTCATGCTAGGACTATTAAGTGACAATGTTGGTGACAGTGTAACGTTCTTCTTTTTGTAGCAATAACAGTTGTTAAAGTTTGTTTCATAACAAATTAGTAATTTGGGTCCAAACATAAGTTAAACTCTCTTTTCATTGGTCTTCTAATATCAAACTATTGTTATGTCATCTTATCTTGTTACATTAGCAATTGTTAAGCGCTACGCATGGCATTTATTTTCTTGACTTCACAGACATAATGGTGCAGCACGCTTCTGCGTCATTCGCCATCGAGGTTTGTTTGTAGTTAAGCACAAAACTATATAAAGGGCTATCTGTGATCTGCCCACCACGGGTATCGAAACCCGGTTGCTAGCGTTGTAATTCCACAGACATACAGCTGGCCACTTGGCATGGAAATTTACTGAATAATGTAATGATATATACTAGAAGTTATCATCTACCAGCCACTTTCATGATATTACTTAACTTGTACTTCTAGGTATCTTGGAGAACCGGGCCATGTCCAAGAACCCCTGAAAGTTTCATGGTGATCAGAGTTCGGAAAATAGGCACTAAAAGGGAAATTAAAATGACTGTCAAGATCATAAAAATGGGAATATGAATAAAGTAAGGGGTTTCAAAATCTTCTTCAGGCCTCCTAAAGAACCCCTGAAAGTTTCACGATAGTCGTCTGTCGGGAAGTTTGAAAATTGTCGTCACAAACAGAGGCACAAGCCATTATGTTCTGTATTTTCCTTATTTCAGTTGATACTTGTTTTACTTTACTAGAAATATGCCACAAAATAAACATATAAGCATTATTACAGCTGGATAAGCTTGATGAATAGTGGAATGTTTTACTTATAGTAGAATTTCCAGCGACAAAAGCACTTCGGGATCTCACTGAAGCAGAACCAGGTCATAGCAGATCGTTCGATCGTTTCCTTGTATTTTTTATGATTGAATTATTGATAGCTTCCAAGTTCTACAACCATTCGTCTTGTATTTGGACTGCATATAATGAAGTGGGTGGTTTATCCTTCAATAAACGCTTGAGCGAAAAGAAAAAAAGCTAAAATTCACAGCAAAACAAAGCAACTTGACATTATTCACATTTCCTCATTTTATTCATGTGCTGTAAAACTAAATTTACATTCAGTTTGGCTCCTGATTTACCACACCATATTTTGTTCAGTGTAATTCAGTGATTATTATTAGGTGAATTAGGATCTAAACTTAAGTTTGCCCCCTATAGTCTCGGCGATAAGCTTCGGGTTTATAAAGCTAAAGTTCGGGTTTCGATTCCCGCGGTAGACACAGCACAAGTAGTTTTTATGAAACTTTTCGCTTAAGCAACATTAACAAACAAACACAAGCTTTCGTTTTTTATTCAAAATTGCCACACTAATGTTTCTTGAAAGCCGCTAAACAGATTCTAGAAGCCGTAAAGTGGTAATTCTGACATAATTTTATTCACAGAAAATAGCCCACAATCATTGTTTTCATACATTCTGAACTAAATTTACAATTTGTTTTATCGGAATAACTTAAGTGTTGATAACGAAAGCCAATCACTATTTCTCTTCTTCTTAAGAACACAATACTATATAGTACAATACAGTACAATAGAGCAGTAACACTTGGGCCAAAAAAAAAGCACAAGTCGTTCAGCTTGTTTGGATAAACGTCAGATCACTGTTGAAATTTGACGCTATCTTGATCATTTTATGTGAGACTGGACGTACTAATAAATCAAATCAGTTCGGCACCGGCCCTTTTTAGGGCATTTAGATATCTATAAAGCTGAAAAATGGAACCCGAATAACAGTCAAATTCAAGTCTCTTCTAATTACTTTTAACACAGATATGTTTCAATGAAATTTGGAGTCAGTTTTTGCTTATTGGATCGTTAGGTGCTGGTATCTATTTGATTTCTTTTTATCAAAGAAGTTAAATATGCTGCAGTTCTTATGTTCGCGGTTGGAACTGACCTACTTATAACTTCCCTTTTACCTCATAAGTTACCAAGGTTTGAAGCATAACTAATAAAATGTCTATTTAAAAAGTTAGCCTTGTCATTTCTTCCAAAGGTGGACATTTATCGCAAGCAAGTAAAGTTATCTTCTATCAGCGGCCCCTTTCATACTGTGTTTATTTTAACTAAGAGCTATATAATGTAACCATTACACGCAAGTGGTTTCCGCAATCATTCTCCAAGAATATAACATTATTTTTTATACATTTCTTCGCGTTTTTAGGCACTCGGTCATAAGCATTATATACAAATTGAAGAATATAGCTATTTATGTATAATTACATATATATATTTATTTATTCTTCTACCCTGGATTATAAAAAAAATAGTTTGGAGTAATTTATGAAGTTTCGCTCTTCATACGTGCTGATCAAATGATATTGAATTAAAATAAATAAAGTCAAAATATAGTCGATTATAACCTCATTTTTTACCACTGAATCGTTAAATAATAAAAGTTTTCTGAGGCATCAACAATTTCATACTAATGTATCCAGTACGCAAGCACCATCGTCACTTCCACTGTGTAGAGAACTAAGTCCCGTATCAGAGTTCGAGTCTCCGATTTCAGGGACCTCAGAGGAAGTGGTAGCACAAGTTGGTTGTGAATCTACATGACTATTTTGAATTATAGACAGTTCTTCTTGAAGTATTTTTGTTTCCCTTTCTTCACGTTCTAAATCTAGCTGAAGTTGATGTAAATGTAAATACTTTTCGTTAATAATCTGACCGTACTCTCTGATCGTGTCCTCATTCTGTTTGATCGTAGTCCTCTGGGTATCGTTAACAGTGACGAGTCTTGTAATCTCATTTTGGATACCTAGCAAGTCATCCGACAGTTTTGTATTACTACAAGAAGTAACATCGGGTAAAGGAAGCCTCTTTTTATCATCGTTTAATTTATTTTCTTCCTCATCGTTCTCCTCTCCGAGAGCAACAGAAAGCCTGATCCTGGATGAGAGGTCCTTGATGTTTTCTTCTTCCTTGTCGATTCTTTCACATAAAGAAAGAACCTTCTCGTATAAATGCGCTGTTTGTTCAATTCCTCCTACTGAAGCCTGGCTTCCACTTTCTTCTTCACTCGTCTCTCCCAGATAAGTATCTATAAGATAATTGACACCTCTTTCTTCCATTCTAACTATGTGTATTTTTGTTTCGTAGTACTCAATCTCATCATCTTTATCTTGCAACTCCTGATGCTGGCTCCTGATCTTCTCTTCTTGAGACATTACAATTTTCTTGATTCTATCTACATAATCCGACTTACACACTGTATTATCTCCTGATTTAGTTCTTTTAGAATATAGCGTTTTATAACGACTGTTGTTCGCTATGACTTTTCCGGTTTTCCTCCTGGTTGTTCTGAGATCCTTATATGTGTGTGGATGAACCCGTTTAAGCAAAAACCTCACATTACATTGTTCTTCTCCCCACGTCTTCCACACTTTCAGAATTCGAGACTTTCCTTCCAAAGGCCGTTCCACTTTCCGCCATCTTTCAACAATTGTATAACTCTTGTGATCTTTCTCTCCTTTCTGCTCCTTGCTTCTTGGGCTGGAAGATAGAACAGCTTGAACAATGTCTTCACACGTAGTTGACTTAGTAACTCCGGTTACCCATTTCTGAAAGCCTCCTACCCACACAGGTATTTCGGCACCCATCCCGTAGCACCATCAATGACTTTCAACTGGAAAGAAAAAAAGTGGCAAGTAGGATCAGTCAATAGTTTCCCTGTAAACGTCTTAGATAAAAGATAAAATACTGCATAAAAATTATATTACGTTATCTGCTAGAAGGAGTAGGTATTTTAGATGTTCGATCTTAGCGGTATCTTAGACGACACATGAGCTAAGTGGCCACAAATATAGATCCCAAGGTTCAAGCGAGCTCGAACTTGCGACCGTCAGATCCACGGCGTGGCACGTTAATTACCAGGCCATGCTATGGGTTTTACTTGCTGCTGTGACTTTTTTACTAATTAAAAACAGATTATTCACTGACAAATGAATTATTGCATAAAATATTTTAAATGTTAAATCACTATTGTAGAAAAACGTTAGAAATCATGAATCATTTGTAAGTAATGGCGTCGTCTATAGTCCTATGGTAAAGAAAAATATACTAACTACATATATATGTATATTAAAATATTTAAAATAACAAATCTATAATACGTCTGTTCTTATCATTCTAACTGAAGACTAACACTAATTTTGTGATTTATATCTATTTTTGTACTCCTGGTGTTAAATTTTAAGACTACAAACGCTCACATATTTTAAATGTTGTAGGAAATAGCAACAGAAACATCTGTTAAGTTATCATGAGTAAAACCGAAATGATGAAACTGCTATTTATTTATTTTCTCTTTTTCAATAATATTTCTTTTTTACGTATTATTTGCTCTGTAAGGACATATAGTATTGAAAGATCATGTTCACAATATACAGAAAATATGTGACACATTTAGTTAATTACATCATAAAATTCTGATGACAAGAATATAACTCGTTTTTGTCCTTTTTAAAATGTGTTCTTATTTCATTCTGTGTATTAACTGGATTGGTTCAGATTATGTCTACGTGTTTCTCTTCCTTTAGGCTAAATGATGCCGTCGACTGGAATACAAATATTCGGCTAATGATTGCGGTTTTCATCAAAGAAAATTTTTTTTTAACTACACATTAGTTTCGGGTGGTCATGATTGCATACAATATCAGAACTGATTTTTAATACTCCGCATAAATATTTTAATTTATGTTTATGTCACTAAATCATAGGTAAAACTGAGACAAAGGAGAAACTTGTACAAAAGGACATTTTCCTTGACGTTTAATCCTTTAGATCTTTATTAGAATACTTGTTTTTATATGTACACAACACTGGCCATTATCCTTTACAGAATTTCTTAAGACAAACTGAATATGTCTAATCAAAGAATAAACGATGTAATAGTTGTTTGTTTGTTTGTTTTTTATCGAACGAACATCCTTACAATGGTAGCGATGACATCAGAGTCGTAAAACTTATAGTCTCGTATATCCTGAATTGTTAGTGAATACTTATAAGTTACACCTTGGTGTATGCTACAAAACACTAAATACATAACTTAGTGGCAGTAAGTAACACTGGAATGTTTTTAATGCGATACTACCTAGACAATGTCGCAAATTTGTTGTTAAGGTCAAAATCTTCCCATAAAATATTTTTATTATTTCTTTGTAATAATTCTTCAGAATCGGTGCACTAATATTTACTATAACTGCATTTAATAATAAAATTACTCTCACAATATGTATCTTCTAGATAAGTTTTAAAAAATCAAAGTTTCTGGTGTGAATAAAACTTCTGGTGCGATTGAAAGTTCTAATTAGGCCTAAGAAATAGGCTTCACAACTATTATCTTTTTTCTATTGGTAAACTTCTCTCGGGTTACAAAATCTTCGTTCTACCCTTAGTTTAATTGCATAAGATTCTTCTGGAGCCTCTAAACAATGGCAAAAACAAATCTGCTGTAACAAAAATCTGTCACGTAGCTTCTTGAGCTTAGCATATCCGAAAGAGACAACATATATTTTCCAATATTTCGTTTAATATTTTGGATATAATTCCATACACAATACATCCAGTTAGCATTCACATACACTATGTATATCGTTACTCTCCGCAAATCGCGGAAACATAAGTTACGTAACTCAAACAAGTGGCTTTAGGACTCCAACGTAAACCAGATTTGAGTTTATAAGCTAAACAAAAGAATGTGCGAACCCTTGAAAATAAGTCAACAAGTAAAAACCCCAACGATCTCAAACATATTTTAACCATATTCCCAAATAAATTCGAAAAAACAAAATGTACTCATGTATACAGCCGACGAGTTATTGAAAAAACAAAATGGCAGCAGTTTCTGCTGACTTGTTTGCAAGACAAAATACTTGCAAGACTTGGTTGCAAGACAAGTGAGAGTTCATTTTGTCACGTTTTTCGTGAATGTTTTAATACAGATAAAAATATCCATTACTTTTGATTCGTAATAGAATCATTTTAAATGCGTTTATAGAACATATCATTCTAGACATTAGAAGTGTTGCAGATGATTTATTGGTAGTAGTTGATTTTTGACACAGCTCCAAAATCTGACAAAGCTCTAACATGAAAGTTTGATAACCTCACATTTAATTGTTTCGCATAATTAACCAATGCTTACATTTTTGTTTGTTTCACGCGTGATATACGTTAAAATTACACATCAATTAAAAGCTGTTGCTATTTGATTCTACCATGTGGTGATGTTAGTACACGATATTTATAATATTGCCATGAGCAAAAAGAAAAACACGAAGTTCTTGGTAACGATATCATGTGAAACTATATAAGATTCTGAGTGGGAAATTCCAACCAACCACGAGTCTCTCGGCACTCTTTAAAGTTATATCAACCGAACCCAAAAAAGTTTGGGATCGATTAATTACTACCAGTGACAAGCTTAGAGTATTACTGACAACTATATATAACGGGGTTCTCCGGAGCTACTAGTTTTGAAAGTAGTTATCCATCTTCTAATAAACGTGTTTTTGGGGGGTAGCGACTCATGCCTAGGGTTAGCTATGATGAATAGGCCTTTCTTCCTAGTAAACCTAGTAGTCTTCAAAAGGCTCTTTTAATTAATGTTCTGCATACCCGTAAATTATAACCTTTCCCTCATTCCCTATCCTTTCCTTGGAAAGATGCAATTAGTCAATAAGAGGGGGATACTTTTTAACTGTTGCGACCCAAAAGTATCGTATATATATATATATTGTCTTTCCACTAGTTCACGTGAAATTCCTGCTAGTCTATTTCAAAACTATTTATAATGACACATATGGACATATACACAAATATGGTCTTGTCTCCCACAATTATCTTACTTGAAGTTCATAACGTAATTTATCTTTTCGCAGTATTAACATTTATTAAAGCGTGCTTAAATAAAGCGAACATATATATATATAAAACACAGGTAATATCTCCTATAGCGAACAGCTTCTATCATTGTCTTCTAATGAGTGTGATGAGAGAAGTCTACTGACATGTTTGCCATTTCTTCTAAATGTGTTAGTTATTATTTTGTAACACGTCAACATGCCATAAAAACAGACACTGTTAAGATGCAGGCTGGCTCTGTGGTTAAGATATGGATTTCGGAGCTGGCGAACTATATTAGAGTCCGCACTTTATGCTGTGGGTGCGTTATGAGAGTGATAGTCAATCCCCTAATATGGATGGTCAAGATATGGCAAATTATTACCCTCACTTTAAGCTGTGAGTGCGTTATTATGATGCTACTGACTGACTCCCTTCCCCCTGGTCAGTAGCTTAAAATTAGGGACGGCGGCAGTTAGCCTTAATAGTTCTGTAATAAATGCAATAGAAATATAGTTATGACAGTTCTCTGTTTCAGTTAGCCTTAATAGTTCTGTCATAAATACAGTACAACTATAGTTCTCTGTTTCAGTTAGCCTTAATAGTTGTGTCATAAATACAATACAAATGTAGCTATGACAGTTCTCTGTTTCAGTTAGCCTTAATAGTTTTGTCATAAATACAGTACAACTATAGTTCTCTGTTTCAGTTAGCCTTAATAGTTTTGTCATAAATACAGTACAACTATAGTTCTCTGTTTCAGTTAGCCTTAATAGTTGTGTCATAAATACAATACAAATGTAGCTATGACAGTTCTCTGTTTCAGTTAGCCTTAATAGTTCTGTCATAAATACAATACAAATGTAGCGCTGACAGTTCTCTGTTTCAGTTAGCCTTAATAGTTATGTCATAAATATAATACAAATGAAGCGCTGACAGTTCTCTGTTTCAGAATTTCGTAAAAACTTGAAATTTTGGAATCATGGATACAATAAATAAAGCCAATAGCATATGGTTACCAAACAACTACTAATTTCCATTCTTGACTGAATCTTTTGATTTTATTTTCGTATAGATTGGTCTACTATCCCATAAGCCAATTAACTGTATTTTCTCGTCTAAAATTCAGTATCAATTCAGCTTTTCCTTAAGCCAATAGCTTAATAAGAACATGATCTTAATATGAGTTCAGCCATTTGTTTCAGTTTAAAATTTAACATTTCAGTTAAATTCAACCCTTAATTCGACAACTTAGTATTCCATATCACGTGTTCCTTAATCTTATAGTTTATTGGTCGATATCAGTGAGATATTTTATATAAAATATCATATTCTAAATAAGCAAGTTCCAGTAATCTGATTTTATAGTGTTCCAGATCAGTATGTTCCTTTTTTTTTTTTGCGACTGTAAATTACCCGTTATCAGGATGTGGTAACACAGTAACATGGGCATTTTTTGTAAATGACAAATTGTCAAAAAAAAAAGGGTAGACAAAGCAAGTCAAAGATGTATGAAAATGATCGGATGATGCATAAACGTATCCAGTAAAAATCCGGTTTGAGTTTTGGGATACTTTTTTATAATATATTAACCTAATTTGTCAAGATTCGAGGAACAAAGTGAATTGAAATAATGACCTGTCAGACTAAGGAACGTGCTGATTTGTAATTTTGAGTTATCACAAGAAGAAACACACTGATCTGGAACATTAAAGTACCAGACTGAAGAACGTAATAATCTGAAACATTAAAGCATTAGGTTAAAAGCACACACGTTACCAC